TCATGTATATTAGTATTTAATGTGTTGCTAGGTAAACTATATCTCTATGTTTACAATCCATCATTATGTTCTTACATAAAGAATTCAGAGTCCCACTATGTTCATAACGCTATGATGGCATAAAGATTCGACATCTGGTCATTTTGACTTCATTTTCACTATGGCTCCACAAATGACCGGTATTTGTCCGAGGCTGTTAGTGCAGCTAACGGGAGGAGTATCATCACTTTGGTACATGCAGTGGCGCCAGACAGAGGTACATATATATAATTATGTAATATACAAATGTTTGTCTATTCCCCACTGCCCAGTTTGCTGAACGGAAGTACATGAAACATTAAATCACCGTGGCTAAGGACGATGTAGTACCATTTATGAACATTTGAGCTGATGACCACCACAGCATAATTAATCTGTCTCGATTTAGTTAGGACAAATTATAGTACAATATAGTATGTGTACAGGGGAAATGATTCTTTAAACGAATAAGGCCTAGGCCTCCTTTTTGTTTACTACTAACTACAATGTACGAGGTTCTCTTTCCGAGACCAATCCCATTGACAAAGAATCTAAATCAGCAGTAAAGCATGACAAGAGATCATTCGTGTTTATCGTTTATACGAGCTATACGGTCTAAGCAGTTTATGAGATCGCCCCTTAAGAGCAATTCTGTCTCTAAATAGACACCATTTTCTCATCCAGACAGAGCATTTAACTTTATGTAGATACTCCACACAAAATTATGTTCTAAGACCACTTCTAGCGTTCCTTGAGTGGTCGCTAAAAAACGATTTGGCTCTAAACAAAAGATAAGATATCGAGTTATCTTATTGCTGTTTCAGCCAAACCCGTTGGATTACAAACTTGTATGCGATGTTTTGACTCACAATAGTGTTACAAATAATTTTCAAATTTCATATTGGAAGTTTTTTGCCCGAACAATTTTAAAACAACATTTCTGACAGGATTTTTGTTTCTTTAATTAGATACATGTATATTTACATTTGCTCTGCAAACCTTTATATATGCATTGTGTATCACTAGAACATAAACATAATGGGGTCATTTGGACGCTTGCTTCTCCTCTCGCCTTGTATAACATAATACATCACAAGAAGCAGACATTTAGGTGACGTTTCACATGTAAGTTATTCTATCAATATCGTTTACACTGACGTTAAAGACACTTCAAAATCACGAATACCTTAAATCCCAATAGAACACATGTTGATTACAATATTTGCTGTGAATCCGACAAGCTTCATGGACTGTTAACACTGCTATTAGCGCACTAATAGTGTGAGGAAGACTGTGACAGCGTTGTGTCTTTTATCACCGACAAAGAAGAATTCCAATTTGTAAGGTATCTAATTAATACACGAGGAAACGTATATATTTCTATTAACGGGCCTTGTATTAATCATAAATGTCAATTTATAAAAGCATCTTAACCAATGCCCGAAAAATCCAACCAATGATCTTAAGTTCTCCAAACAAAACTCCAAAACAATTTGAAAAAATACAACCTTATAAATGTATAAAAAAAAAATGATAATTCATCAGGAAGATAAATGTGTCAGACCGGTAGGCAGTATTGGCGGGACACTCGGCCTTAATGTTCTATCCGATCATTAAGCGCACCAACCATTAAGTAAGCTCTTTTTATAACCGAGAGCTGAGGATATCAGGCTACTGGAGGCGGTAAAATTCAAAATGCTGCAAGTGTTAGGACCTTTATATTACTATTATTTCAACAGAACAGAAATATTAACACTTTTGAAGATTAAGCCACTGAAATACAAAACCATAAGTTTAACATATGGCCAGCCAACAAACGCAGGTAGATATATTACACGTACACGTACTTAAAAGCTACATATCGACAATCTGTACGGCGACAGCTGGCGGACAGCGCTCGTCAATATCGCAAGCTAGGAGGTTAACACGCTGTGGTAACCTCGTGTATACCGATACTCCAATTAACTGGAATCTCCATAAACCGACCAACTTATATCTCAGTAACCTTTAAGCAGATATCACGAAGACGAAATCAAAATCTCGTTTTATTCTTTATGAACTTAGGATTCTAGAGACGG